AGCTCATAGCAACCTCAAACTCTTGGGCTTAAGAGAATCTCTTTCCTTAGCCTCCCAAGTAGCTGGAACTACAGGTGCCCACCACAACATCTACTATTTTATTAGAGACAAGGTCTCGCTGTGGGTCAGGCAGTCCACCTGCATGGGCCTCTCAGAGTGCTAGGACTACACGTGTGAGCCACTAAGCCTGGCCCTTTCGGGAGATTTCTTCTGCATCCTCTTGTGGTTCCTGTTTTATAATGAACAGGAAATATTCTCTTGTTCCTAGGTGCTGAGAGGTTTAACATTCTGAAAGATGCAATGAATTGTTTGATAATTTATGGTTTAAACTCATAAATGTATATGCAACATTTAATTTTTTTTTTTAGGCACAAATATTTAAACATGGAAAACGTGAAGACTGTTTACCCTATGGTAAGGTTGATTTTTTTTTTTTTTAAGAGAAGGTATATTTGTGAGTTTGCCCATATATGTATGTAGAATCAATTATGTCTTTGTGACATTTTATTTACAGGCATAAAAATCTGTAAGTTGGTATCTTGGACACTGTCATATTTCTTTGATTTTTTCTGTTATGTGTGTGCCTCCTAGCGCATCTCTCTAAAAGACTTGGCTCTTTCCACATGTGGCCCCAGTATCCTCACACCTCAGAAAATGTGCCAGGGCTGCTCCCTGTCATCACATACTATCTTTAAAGCCTGCTGAGCTTCCTGCATCCCCTCCTCAGGCCCCTGTGTCCCCACTTCCAGGTCCCCACATTCCTTGTGCTGTGGCCCCTCAGAGGGTCTAAGGCCTCCCCTTGGGCTCAGCTTTGTCCAGTCCTTGTCATCATTCTGGCAGGACACCCCACTAAAACAACCAGCTGCAGAGGCCTCTTGGGCTTGGGAGTATCCTGAGGCACAGTGCCACCCTTGTATACTTGGCCTGTGTGTGTCCTGCTCCCTTTGAGAACAGCTCCCCACACCCTGGGGCTCTTGTTCTTCCACCTTCAGTCCTTGCTTCTGGTAAGGAGGTCGTGAAAGTGGGCTCTCCACTCCTGGTGAGTGACGCAGAGGGTGTTGGCTCTGATAGGCTTCAGTGCCCTCAAGCTCCCTGCATCGGGCTCCTGGGAACTGTCTGTGGTCTCAGGGCTGCAGTGTCAGACCAAGGGGTGCAATAGGGTCCCATGTGCTTCTTCCTGCTACTCTGAGGAGAGCTTGTCTTGTTGCAGCTGCCACTGTCCTCAAGTGCCTTGATGGCTGTCGACTCCCTGAGAGCAACCAGACTCTGCTACGGAAGCTGGGGGTGAAGCTTGTGCAGCGGCTGGGGCTGACCTTCCTGAGGCCCAAGGTGGCAGCGTGGAGGTAGGTGCCCTGGAGGTGTGAGGAAGAGCTCCAGCCAAGCCCTGTAGTGGGGTCACCTGTAGTGCAGCTGCTGCTGAGGCCTTTATGTCAGATAGTGCTGACAGACAAGCCTGGCTCATAAAAAGTATCTTTTTTTTTTCCTTTAATCTCAAAAGTGTTTCTGATTTTTAAGGAAATAGCTTTTGTTTTGATTGTTGCTGACTTTACACCTTCCATTTGGGACAGTTGGAGCTGGGTAGGACAGGACTGCAGCTCATGGGCCAATGTGGGATGCTGCCGGCACAGCTGAACTACAGGCTTCTTCAAAGGAAGTATGCACACCCTTGAGAGGGTGACCCGCCCTGCAGAGGATGACCTGCCCTGCAGATGTGGATGAATTTCAAAGTATTAGCTCCTGTGGTCACAGACTTCTCACATGTTCTGGGGTACTGTGTTCTTAATAGTCTCAAGTTTTACTTTGAGTATTAATGGTGCGGTTTGGGAAAATGGTATTTGATAAAGTTTCGCTCAGTCTTTGTCCTTCATTGTAGCAAATTCCAAAGAAAGTATGCTGTGTTTTAGTGATATTTTGCTGAAGTACTTTTTGGTTTTCAGCGTATAGTTAATTCTATAAGAAGTTATTTATTAGTGGCTAGTTTCTGAAATGCCATGGAAAGTGGTCCAGCACTGTATAGAATATCCCAAAGGTCACCACAAACAGGAAAATTAACAAACTCATATTTTATGTTTAATATTTTTAATATTTATACATCAATACATAGAGAAATATTTCATAAAATTTTATAATGAATATTTTGTAAATAAAGGTATGTTTGGCTTGGCACTTATAGCTCAGTGGTTAGGGTGCTGGCCACATATGCTGGGGCTGGTGGGTTTGATCCTGGCCTGGGCCTGCTAAACAATGACAACTACAACAAAAAATAGCCAAGCATGATGGCGGGCACCTGTAATCCCAGGTACTTGGGAGGCTGAGGCAAGAGAATCATTTGAGCCCAAGAGTTTGAGGTTGTTGTGAGCTATGATGCCGTGGCACTCTAATGAGGGTGACATTGTAAGACTCTGTCTCAAAAAACACAAAAGATATGTTTAGCTACAATTTCCCATTTTCCCTATGTGTGTATTATGGCGACCTTTGGGATACCCTGTATTAGGTGAGGTTCCCTGGAGAAACAGAACCAATAGGATATGTGTACATGTCATAGAAAGAAGCCTATTATAGGAATTGGTGCTGGCAGTTATAGAAGCTGGCAAGAACCCAGCTCTACCCGATGGAGCGGCTGGACCCAGGAGAGCCAGGGGTGTGGTTCCCACCCTAAACCCAAGAAGAGCCCCTCTGCCCCTGTTTTAGTTTGAGTCTAACAGTAAAAGGCCAGTGTTCTGATCCAGGGTTATCAGGCAGGAGGGTTCTCACTTACTAGGGGAGAGTCAGCCTTTTTTTGTGCTCATCTGTCAGCTGATGGGACGAGGCCCATCAGGGAGGGCAGCTGCTTTGCTTAGGCCACTGACTCAGATGTCAGTTTTGCCCAGAAACACCCTGGCAGGCTCAGTCAGCATGGTGTTGGCCAAGTAGCCGGGCCTAGGCAAGGTGGTGGTGAATATCCATTGTAAGCACTAAAATGTGTAGGAAGAAAATAATTTAGCTTCGTAATTACTTTGTTCATATGTATTGCCACAGGAGTGTAATTGTTAATATGATTGGGGTAAGTCTACTACCTTGCTATTTATTTTCTCTCTTCCGTCTTCTTCCTTAATTTTTCTGTTTTCTATTACTTAATTTTCCCACTTAACACCTCCTTAGATTTTTTTTTTAAATTAAATCACACTGTGTACAATAATGCAATCATGGGGTATAATGTGCTGGTTTTGTATACAATTTGAAATATTTTCATCAAACCAGTTAACATAGCTTTCACGGCATATTCTTAGTTATTGTGTTCACCTCCTTAGATTCTGCTGTATCTTTCTGCGTTGCTCTCTCACTGGTGTCTTCCACTAAAGAGGCTGGAGTCTGGGTCTGGTGGGTGGCATGTGACTGGGATGTCTCCCTCTTCCGCTCATCTGGGGATGAGTCCTGTGGGGGTGGGGGTGGCTCTTGCTACTGCAGCATGGTCCATGTTTCAGTTGTGTGGCTTTCAGGGTCATAAATGAAAGAATCTTAGGGCCCCTGACTTTGTGTGACTCCTTTCGCCCCACTGTTCTGGTGTACATGGCTGTCCTGTCCTCCTGTTCTCTTTTCCTCCTGTCCTCCTGCTTGCTGCTCATTCACCTTGGGGCTTCTGTGTGGAGCTTTGGAGTCTTTCTTAGCTCCTTTCTCTCTTGCTCCCCCTTCTCCAAATACCAGCCATCACAGAAGCTCGCTGTTGCCTGCAGGGTGCCCTGGTGCAGAGGTGGAGGCAAGGAGCTGTGGCCTCTCGAGAGTGGCAGCCCTGCAGTGTTGGCTTCCATATTCTGTCCTGACTTTGTAGTTTATGGCACAAGGGCAGGGCCAAGAGCAGGCAAAAGCCTATTGTTGTTATAGTTTCAGTCTTTGGTCTCTGAGCATTGTAGTGGGTGCTTTTCCGCTAGATGACCCATGGGCCTGCTCACTGAGGAGAATGGTAACCATAGTGAGATGTGAGTGTCTCTGTGGCCTGCCCGCTGCCTTGCTGAATGCTTCAGGGTCACAACAGCAGCCCTGTGACAGCAGGTGTTGTCGGCCGCTGCGTAACAGAAGCCTAGCATTTAGCAGCTTAAATCAACATGTCCTTTCCTTCCTGGTTTCTGCAGGTCAGGAGCCTGGACATGGCTTAGTGGCCCCTCTACTCAGGGCCTCTCCTGCAGCTCCCTGAAGGTGTTGGTCAGGCTGCTGTCATCTCAGGTCGGGCAGGGTGGACCTGCTTCCAGCTTCTTCTTGTGGTTGCGGCAGGATTTGGTGTCCTGCAGGCTGTTTGCTTGAGGCCTCCCAAGGTTTCTTGACACGTGGGTCTCCCCACAGGGCAGCTAACAGCACGGCTGGCCTCGAGCAGAGTTAGGGTGAGCCAGAGGAGGACAGTCTTTCTGTAATCTCATCTTGGGAGGGGCTGCCCATCACGTCTGGCGTATTCTACTCATTGGAAGGGAATCACTAGGCCCGGGCCACACCGGGGGGATTGCAGGAATGTCTCGAGGCAGGGGAGGTCACAGGTCACCTTAGAAACTGCCCACCATCCTCCTCCTTATTTCCCAGAGTTGGAACTGAGGCCCAGAGAAATAAGATGAGAGATTCAAGGCCACAGTTAAAGGGTCCAAGTTGGTGTTGTGGGTTCTGCCTTCAGAGCACAGGCTGTTTACATTCTGGAGTTGCTCTCAAGCTGTAGCCCTCAGGGTCCACTCTGGAGCTGGGGGTGGGCTCCTTATATGCAGCAGGCCCTGTCCTTGGAGTCAGCTGCAGGAGGGTCAGGGCATACCTCCCCTGTTCTGTGCCTAACTGGTCTGGGTGCTTCATGCAGACCCTCCTGTTCATCCTCACAGTGCTTTGAGGGGAGGAAATGTTTCCATTTACAGAGGGGACTGGGACAGAAAGTGGCTCCAGCTGTGCAAAGGAGTGGAGCTTGGTCCTGGCCCACGCTGCAGCCCCTTCCCACATATCCAGGGGAGTCCTGCTGGGTGTGGAAGAGGCTGAGGCTGCTTAGGACAAAGACAGCATCTTTGGCACCCATGACATGTGAGGTGTGGCTCCTAGTGATGAGGGGCCAGGATTCAGCCTGGGTGGGCATGTCAGTGAGGACAGGGTGGGCCTGTGGTTTGAATGTTCCCCCCATGGTCCTGGCATGTATGTTCTTGTCATCACTTTCTAAAATCAAAACACCATGCCAGGGAGGCCTTCTGGAATCGGGGCACGTGCCCATGGCCCACAGCAGGCTCTTCTGGGCTGTTGCTGTTGGTGCCCTGGTTTTCTCCTTTGCACCCTGGCTCTGTGGAGCATGTGGAATTTCCACAGGCTGTCTGCAGATTTGAGGTAACAGCGAGCCACTGATTCTGGTCATCAGGTGGGCACGTGTTCAGCTCCACACTGCTACAGCTGACCCAATGGTCAGCTCTGCACTGTTACAGCTGACCCGAGGATGCTTTGGTCTGTGCAGGTACCAGCGTGGCTGCCGATCTCTGGCAGCCAATCTGCAGCCCCACACTGAGCACTGGCCTGAGCAGAAGATGCTGGTGGAGCCGTCTGACTGCCACGAGGAGGTGGAGGAAGATGATGTCCCAGAGGGGGTGGAGAGTGTAATTGGTACGTGGTGTCCACATTGACCTGCCCCTGACTACCTTCCCTCTGACTCCACCCCACCCACTGTCCCTCATTATCACTGAGAGTGTGGCCACTGCCTGTCCTTTGGCTCCTGGGCTCTCTCATCCCAGCCTCTCCTCCAGGTCCACCCCATCCACTGCCCCTCACTATCACTGAGGGTGTGGCCACTGCCTGTCCTTTGGCTCCTGAGCCCTCTCTTCCCGGCACCCTAGGGCCTGGCATGTCTCGTGTACCCTCCCCCTTCCCCTGCCCTGGGCCTCGGCTTGGTCTGCCTTCTAGGGTAGGCAGGTGCTCCCTTCTGACTGCAAAAATTGACTTTATATGATTATTTGAAAACACGAGGAATGTTTTCCTTATAGTTAAAATTTAATTTTTATGGTAATTCCCTCAGGCTATTCTTTTGAGTAGTGTCCAGGATGGGGGCACCTTAAAGCTAGGAAATCAGGCTCGGCGCCTGTGGCTCAAGTGGCTAAGGCGCCAACCACATACACCTACAGTGATGGGTTCAAATCCAGGCCGGGCCCACCAAACAATGACGGCTGCAACCAAAAAATAGCCAGGCATTGTGGTGGGTGCCTGTGGTCCCAGCTACTCGGGAGGCTGAGGCAGGAGACTCGCTTGAGCCCAGGAGTTGGAGGTTGCTGTGAGCTTTGATGCCATGGCACTCTACCCCGGGGGACAGCTTGAGGCTCTGTCTCAAAAAAAAAAAAAATGCTAGGAAATCAGAACATTGTCTCGAGCAGTAGTGTGGTGATCCTGTATGTGTGGGCCTCACCCTCTCGTGTCTCCACAGAGCAGCTGCTGGTCGGGCTGAAGGACACGGACACTGTCGTGCGCTGGTCGGCAGCCAAGGGGTAGGTGCTGCACCACTCATCTGCTCTGCGAAGCCTCTGAGTCTCCAAAGGCTTTCCTGGGATCTGAGAGCTACAAACCCCTCATGGATTTGTACAAGATTGAATTATTTTTCTAATTTACATAGTCTGTTTCACATCTCAGTTTAAAAGATAGTCACTGAAGTGGGATTTTAGGCCCCTCATCTTCTTGCCTTTCTGGCTGAGTGTACACAATAATAAGAGACCAGATTTGCCTTTATCTTTAAATGTTCCCGTCCTTATTTCTCTGTATTTTCGTCACCTGCCCTCACCTGTTGTCCCCTGACAGATGAGAGGGACCTGGTGTGTCTCTTCTGATTGTCGGGCCTTGGTGGAAGATGTGGGCCAGGCCTTGAGCACACTGGGTGGAGCCCTGGCCTTGAGCCAGAGGCCCATGGGGGGCCGTCACGCACACAGAGTTGCTCAGACATCAGAGGGACCTTTGTCGTGGATGAGTTACACCAGGAGAGGGGCTGGCAGGTGTAACCTGGGCTCTGTGCTAGATTAACCTGGGAAGATCACAGTCTTGGGGATGGTGGGGCTCCTGCCGACCCTTCCAGCTCATCAGGATGGGCCTTCTCACGGGTCTGCCTTCAGGACTCAGGCCAGGAGCTGGCCCAGGCCTCCCTTGTATGGGGCCTGTACTCCATATCCTAGGGCTGATGGGTCCCAACTTGGTCCCACCATGGATGGGGACCTCTAGGTTAAAGCCTTCAGTGTTCATTTGGCATCCCAGTGCTGTTAACTGTGGGTGGAAGGCCGTGTCTGTGTTGCTGTGGCGAAAGGTGGCTCTGGCCTGCCCTTACCCTCTTCACACCTGCCCCATGTCAGAACATACAGACTCCTCACTCATTTCCTTATTTTATAGCATGGGCTCTTGGGTGGAGTGGAGAGCATGCTTGGGGTAACCTCTCCTTTTCCACGCTCAGGAGGGAGGACCATGGCTCAAACAGCTCACACGGGCAGTATGAACCCTCTTGCAGACTGGCAGTGGTGATAGGCTGTTGCTTTTCTTTTTCAGAATCGGTAGGATGGCTGGGCGGCTTCCCAGAGAGCTGGCGGATGACGTGGTTGGGTCTGTGTTGGATTGTTTCAGGTATGAGATGATTGAAGGGAGGCTAACCTTAGTTAGGTTCTAAAGCAGTGGCTTTTTGGTCCAGATCTGTCCCTACCATGACCAGTAGCCATATGTATTGCTTAGACTTCTAAATGTGGCTAGTGTGACTGAGGCCTGAATTTGAATTGAATTGGATTTTAATGAATTGAAATTTGTGCTTAAATAGCCACATGTGCGGTGCTGCACCTTTCTAGCCTCTGGAGTCCTGAGGATTGCAGGGGTGGCTCAGGTCTGGGCCTGGGCAGCCTCGAGCGCTCTCAGGTTGGGGTGCGGTGCCACCACCTCCCTGAGGGCTCATCATGCTGGGGACTGTCTCTGTCAGTCACAGAAGTGGAGGCGTTTGGTTTGTTCTGGCCTCATCTCTGCTCCCCTTGTTAGCTGGCCTGTCCCTGTGCGTGGTGTGCAGTGTGGAGAGAGCTGTGGTGTCAGCACTTTCGGGGCTGTATTGTCATCAGTCCCCAGGGGCGGCCTCTCGAGCAGCCACGGTGCTGTCTTCCTGCTGCAGCAGGCTACTGCTTGCATTTTGCCTCGAGCCAGCTCAGTGGCAATTTAAGGAGTGCAGGAAACAATATGTCAGATGTCCACAACCTTTTTCAGAATGATGCAGCACGTATGGCGAATGTCTTGCTAGTGGAAACGGTCTGGCAGAAACACGGACGCTGCATTGCAGCTGCTCTGTGGGCTGGAGAACAGCAGGGCTGCAGCTGGTCCCGTGCTCTGCTGGCTCCTTTCAGGGCGTGTCCTGGACTTCCTTTCTGGTGGTCCTGATGGGAATGTCCCCTGCTGCCTGGTGATGCCTGTGCCCTTTGTGGGAGTGTGGTGGGTTTTCTGCCCAGCTTGCCGTACCTATTTGCTCCTGAGCTTGGCCCCTTTTCTCTGGCAGCTGAGCCTTCTGCTCATCAGGCCTGGTGTGTCCAGTTGAGCTCACTGGATACCTTTTCTCCCAAATTTATCACTTCTTTGGACTTTGTGTCCCTTTTCCCAGCTTGGTCTCAGTCTAGTTTCATCTGTCCCAGCTGGTTTAGTCTTCATGTGCCTTTCTGCCTTTACTTTTTTTTAATGTGCTCATCCTGTGTTTTTAGATAGGCTCTGGAGGTGGGAGTGGTCTTACTCCAAGTCCTAAGGGCCTTTAGCTCTAAGCAGCAGACAGACATGTTGGAGGGATGGTCACCCCACTTTCTGCAGGGCGTCTCTCAGGATGGCACCTGCCCACTTGGTTGCCTAGATGGGACCGATGACTGTGGCATAAAAAGGCACAATTCTGGGCCAGGGCATTTGAAGACCCCAAGACAAGGGGAGTATTGGAACCGGTGGCAATGGCCCTGCATGTGGTGGCTCTGCATGGGGCGGCTCTACTGTGGCCTCCTTTTTTGTCCTTGTGGGATGTGAGGTGAGCTGCCTCACCTCACTGGAGTAGGTCAGAACTAGGAGTCGATGTGTTGCCTTTAGGAACACCTGTCATCTGGATTGTTGACTGGCTCTCTGCTCTGTTCCTGGGCTGGTCCTGCAGTGAGCAGAGTGGCTGCATTCCAGAGAGCTTTACAGTGACCTGGCGGCCCTGTACCTGTTGTGCATGGCTCCCTCAGCACTGGGTCCCTGCAGCCCTGCCCAGGACGCACAGGGGCAAAAGTGTGTGTGGTCTCTAGTGGGCAGACTGACTATAGCCACTGCGGCTGTCCAGAGCCTCCTGGATGCACACGGTGGCAGCGCCTGAAAGCTGTGGCACCTCCAGGCCCAGGCCCTGTGCTGCAGGAGACTCACCTATAAGTTCCTTTCTGTTTGATCTTTAAAGGTTTATTGGTATTTTTCACTAGGCAACATTTTAGTTCAAAATTCAGAGTGAAAGAGAAGGTGCCAGAGCCCCTGGGTGCTCGTGCCTGGCACCTAGCCTGCCCCTCAGGGATCCCAGGGCACCTGCTGTTCCCCCCCTCTCCCCCCCCGGTCCTTCCAGGGAGGTTTGATGCAGATGTGAGCAGATGAGTAAAAATGTTTTTTCTTTTATTTTGCCTGGATGGTAGCTTGCCCTTTAGGTGCTGTCCCACCAAGGGCAATTGTCCCAGTGTCATTTGTGTCTCAGCCCCCTTTCTGCCTACTCATGACCCCGCCATTCTCTGCCTTGGGTGCTCCTCTGAGGCAGGAACTTATGTGGCTGATGCTTCTCCCTGGGCCTTGGCTGGGGACAGGGTCCCCTCTCATGTGTGAAGTGTGTGGTGGCGCTATCTCTTGCTCAGGCTGATCTTGAACTGAGCTCAATTGATCCACCCACCTCAGTTTCCCATTGTGCTGGGATTACAGGCATGAGCCACTGTGCCTGGCCTAAAACTTCTTAAAAGTACTTAAAAAAGGGAATTTGTTTTTATTTACATTTTATGTTTCTATACATGTTGTTAGGGGTCAGCCATTTTTAACCCTCTTGATGATCAAACCTGCCTTTGCAGCCTTCTCTTTCCTAATTCTGACTTTGCTTGTGGGATGACCATGTTTGTTATAATCTCAAAGGAAAAAAAACCTTGTTTAAAAAAAACAAAGATGAGCGGTGCCTATGGCTCAGTTGGTAGGGTGCAGGCTCCACATACCAAGCGTGCCATGTTTGAACCCTGTCCTGGCCAAACTGCAACAAAAAATAGCCAGGCGTTGTGGTGGGTGCCTATAGTCCCAGCTACTCAGGAGGCTGAGGCAAGACAATTGCCTAAGCTCAGGATTTGGAGGTTGCTGTGAGCTGTGATGCCATGGCACTCTACCACGGGCAACTGTGTCTCAAAAAAAAGAAAAAAAAGAAGAAAAGCAAAGACAACAAAACCTTACTCTGAGCGTTCCAGTAACTTTTTGTGCAAGTACTTGGCTGTACTGTAAGTAGTTAGTGTGAGACAATGATTAAAAAGGCCAAAAATAAGAGATTTCATTTTTTTCCTCTTTTTTCTATGAAGTTGCTATTTATTAGTTTTTTTGGCCTACTTGATGTATGTGTGAAGCAGTGTCCAACAATAAACAAGATTTTTATTTTGCTGAGTCCTAAAAAAATTCATATTTCTTACTGTACAAAGAACCTCTAAATAACCATTTCATTTCAATTTTTTTTTGTCTCAAATTTGGTCACTAATTAAGTAGTGGGTATCATTTAAAGGATGTCTTCCTGCTCCTCTTTCTAATATGATTTGGTAGAAGTCCTGTTTTACAGCCCAGACTTTTCTGAAGTGTTATTATTTTGTCTCTTTTTTTTAATAGTTGTAACTTTATTTATTTTTTTTTAATTTATTTTTTTTTGTTGTTATAGTTTGGCCAGGGCCAGGTTTGAACCTGCCACCCTTGGCATATGGGGCCAGCGCCCTACCCACTGAACCACAGGCGCTGCCCGAAATTACTCTTAATGGGAGGGAGGTGTTGCTTTCAGGGAGCCCACCAAGGCAGGAGTGCCCCCAGCCAGCTGAGCAGTCCAGCCGGTGTGGGTGCCCTTCTGCCCAGCTGGGGCTGAGTCAGGACTTTTCAGGAGCTCTGTAGGGAGGTGTGGGTGGATGTGGCAGTGGTCTCATATTAGACTGAATGTTTTATTTCTTCAGCTAACTGATGCTTTGAAATTTGCCAGCAGGCTTTACTGAGGCTTACAGGGATAGGATGGGAACTTGCCAGCCTGTTCTTTGCTACAACTGTGGGCTTTGGTCCCAAGCTGACATTAGAACTCTTGGTCTCAGGGTCTGTGTTGTGCTCAGTTTTCAGGAGACAGACAAAGCCTGGCATGGTGGGTGTCTGGCGCTGGCGGAACTGGGCAGGAGAGGCCTGCTGCTCCCATCTCGACTTGCAGAGGGTAAGTAGCTGAAACCTAGTCAGTCCGCATAGTTAGAGCTGTCTGGCTCTCCAGGGTTTGAGCCAGTTTGCCTGGTGTGGCTCAGCAGAGAACAGACCAGTTCAGTATCTCTCAGCTTCTTTTCTCATTTTGGTCTTTATCAGTTTTTAATTGTCCTTTTGTCTGTTTTAAAATTTTAATGCTACAGATGGCCCGTGTACCTTGTTTTAGAAGGGCTTGAACTGTTGTAATGTCTGATTTTCTTTTCCTTAGAACTGGGTTTTATTCTTCTTCTTCTTTTTTTTTTTTGAGACAGAGTCTCACTTTGTCACCCTTGGTAGAGTGCCATGGTGTCACAGCTCACAGCAACCTCAAAGCTCTTGGGCTTAAGTGATTCTCTTGCCTCCTCCTCCCAAGTAGTTAGGACTACAGGTGCCCACCACAACACCTGGCTATTTTTCATTTGGGGTTGTCATTGTTGTTTTAGCAGGTCTGGGCCAGGCTTGAACCAGCCAACCCTGTGTATGTGGCTGGTGCCATACTCACTGAGCTATGGGCATCGAGCCTGGTTTTTATTCTTGAGGGGTGTTGCTTATGAAGAGCACCTGCAGTGATGCTTCTCTTGAGCTATAGAGCCAGGTGCATCATGCAGCATCTGTGTGGCTGGGGTAATGATGTTCCCCTGAGTGAGCTGGGGAGATAGTGGTCCCTGGGGCAAGGCTGGGGTGACGGTGCCTTGGAGTGCATTGGAGGGACAGTGCTCTCTGGGGTGAGTTGGGGTGATAGTGGCTCCGGGGGTGAGGCTTGGAGTGATAGTGCTCCCCAGGGTGAGCTAATAGTGCTCCCCAGGGTGAGCTAATAGTGCTCCCCAGGGTGAGCTGGGTGACCATGCTTCTTGGGGTGAGGCTGGGGTGATCATGTTCCTTAGGGCAAGCTGGAGTGACCATGGTCCCTAGGGCAAGGCTGGGGTGATAGTAGTCACTGGGGCAAGGCTGGGGTGACAGTGCTCCCTGGGGTGACTCTGCTCCTTTGGGGCATGCTGGGGTGGTGATAGTGGTCCCTGGGGCAAAAATGGGGTAATAGTGCTCCCTGGGGCGTGGCTGGAGTGACATTGGTTGCTGGGGCAAACTGGGGTGACCATTTTCCCTGGGACGAGCTGGGGGGTGACTGTGGTCCCTGGGGTGAGCTGGAAGGACAGTGATCCCTGGGGCAAGGCTGGGGTGATAATGCCTCTGGGTGAGCTGAAGGGATAGTGCTCCCTGGGGTGAGATGGGGTGATAGTGGCTCCTGGGGTGAGGCTTGGGGTTGATAGTGCTCCCTGGGGTGAGCTGGGGTGACCATGCTTCTTGGGGTGAGGCTGGGGTGACCATGTTCCCAGGGCAAGCTGGGGTGATAATGGTCCCTGGGGTGTGGCAGGAGTGATAGTGCTCCTTGGGGTGAGCTGGGGTGACAGTGGTCCCTGGAGCGAGGCTGGGGTGACAGTGGTCCCTGGAGCGAGGCTGGGGTGACAGTGGTCCCTGGAGCGAGGCTGGGGTGACAGTGTTCCCTGGAGCGAGGCTGGGGTGACAGTGCTCCCTGGAG